ACTCCATATGTCAACTCAAAAATACTATCGAGATGCAAATTAAAAATCATTAACTTAATTAGAATTTTGTCTGACAAAATAAAATCTCGGGTACATCTTCATTGCACTTGTTAGTCTAATAACTAAGCAAAACTATATTACTCTCATATAAGGGTCATAATACCGCACTTTTACCACTCATATTTATTGCAAAGTAACACCTTGATTCCTTACATAGTTTAAGGCTTAAGGTTAATTGTTTTTATTTTTTAAGGGTTTAGCATATAAGATTTAGGGTATTATAGGGTTTAGAGCTTAGAGTTTTTTAGCTTCAAAATTTTTTAAGAATTTTAAGGATTAGAGTTTCTTAGGTTTTTTAGTGTTTACGGTTTAGGATATAGGGTTTTTTTGTTTTTAGGCTTATAGTGTACGGATTATTAGAATTCAAGGTTTAGAGGTTTCTATTATTTAAAGTTTAGAATATATAGAAAATTAGTATTTTGTATTTATTTTTCTGAAATTTCTGAAGTAATAGAAATTTAATGGAAACATGTTATTATGGTATTATTGATGAAATTTGGGTGGTGCTAGTTGATCATGAAACAGGTAATGTAGGTAAAATAGTGGATTTGTTGAAGTCTGATGACTACAAAGGTTACATTTCTAAAAATATACATTCAACTCAAAATCCTTGATTCTTTTATGAATAAATTCAGTTTGATAACCTTATCAAAAGAGATTTAATTGATATTATGCTTGTTGTTATCGTAACATCGATTACTTTTTGGATTTTACTTATAGTAACATCGATTCCTTTTTGAATTTTACTTTTTGTCTAGTAAATCTTGAATTAATCTTTTCTTAATGTCATGATACAATTTGTGTAGTTATTTATGCGGTTTTTAATAGAAATAAATTTTATTATGTGTTTATAGAAGAAGTAAATTAGATTGTCTAGTCTTTATTCTTGTTATTGGCATGTTATACACTCGATATCCTTCCTCCATACAAATGTATATGATTGTTCGGGGAGGGGTGGTGCTGGTGGTTGATAATCTTATGTAATTTTTTGGCTAGCTCCAATTTGATTAGATGTCTAGAACTGCCATAGTTTTATGTTAAAGTCTAATCATTTAATCAACCTATATATACATTTCTACACTTGAGTGTTTGTAGAATAAGGGGTAATTTATTCTTTTATAATTGTTCGTGTGACATAAAATCATAGGAGAAGATTAATAAATTCACCAAAAATTATTTTTTGAAGATATAGATATTTCAATTATATAAATCTATATGTTACTTAAAAAACAAAACATGAGTAACAAATAGAGAAGAGAAAGAGCTAGACAAGAAGGGATTTGATTATCATTATTATTTACCTTAAAAAGCCTTTTTATTTTTATTTATTTTATATAGAAAAAAATAAGGTTTTTTTTATTCTTGTTAAAAAATATTTTACTTCGTATTTTTTCTTTTCTTTTTTATTTGATAAAGGTCAAAACTACCAGAGAATGAAAAAAGTAGCAAAAATGTCTTTAGTTTATTGAATATATTTAGGTTTTGTGTAGTTTTAGGTGAGAAAATTGTGTATGTGAGTAGTGTTAATGAAATTTGTTTGGATGTATGGAGAAAAGGATTGAAAGGTGGGTATACTGTTGGTGTTAGGAATGGAAGGACAAGGAATATGGTCTTATATTTGCTCGTTAATTAGAGTAAGGGTTGGTGTGGATTTTTAAATGGACGCGTTAATGGTTATTAAATTACATTAACTTTCACGGTGGATATTGATTTGTAGTTGTCACGTGACAAATGAGATTTCACATGGCACGCATGATGTCATTATTTAAAGTTAAGGGTACTTGTGAGCCAATAAAAAAAGGAAATATTTTTAGACAAAACACAAACGAATAATATTTTCAATCTGCTTTAATGAATACTAGTCAAACATCTGACTTTTAAGATGTATTGATGCAGTTTTACAATCCGTACATCTTCAGAAACAATGATAATGCTCTATAAAGGAGAGAAAAAATTGATGTGATAATAGTAAGTGTTCATTCACCGAATTCAGATTCTTTTAAACTCTTGGATCAATATGTGATCTTGGAAATAATTTCCCTATGTAAGTATTTATTTTATTCATTCAATATGACATCTATTGTGAGAACAATCAGCTATATTTATAAATACACTACAAGAATCAGCTAATAAATTTGCTATTAATATGTAATTAATTTTTTTGAAGCAAAAGAATTTTGTGCAATTCATTGTTAATTATCATGAGTAGCATTGAATATTTGTTGTTTAGTGACATTAGTTATTTGTTGTTAATATATATTAATTTTATAAATGATATGTTATTATTTTGTAACACAACATTTATAGTGAATATGCTTGAAAATAATTATTTATATAGTATTTTATAGAACTAAATTTATTTGTCAACTTATTGAAATAATTATGCAATTATATCCAATTAATACAATCAACTCTTAGCAAAAAAGATATTGAAAGGAGCATGCTTTTTTCTAAAAAGGCCACGAAATGAGAAAATGGTGAAAGACTTACAACAATTTGTATTGAGAACAAAAAAATCTAAAGAGAGAGAGAGAGAGAGAGAGCGGAAAAAGGATTAGAAGATGGAGACAAGATACTTGTTAATGATATTGATACAAATACATGGGTGGAGATAATGAAGAATTACATAAAAACAAATTGTGTACCTAATATTGAGGAGAATCGAAATAATATTCATGAAGTTTATGACAATATGCTCCTCCGCTTGTATTGTCCATTCGATACGATATTTTCCTCAACTTCATGAATATTATTTGTATGTTCCTCAATGCTTGTGTAGTAACTCATAAATCTTGATTTTGTATATGAATCAATTCAGTTTGATTATCTTCCAAAAGAGATTTAAATGATATTATGCTTGTACTGATTGTAACATTGATTCTTTTTTGGATCTTAGTTTTTCTCTAGTAAATCTTGAATTCATCTTTTCTTTATATCATAACACCATTTTCATAGTTGTTTATGCTATTTAAATTAATAATAAATGTTTTAATATGTTTACAGACGAAGCAATTTAGATTTTTAGTTTTTTGTTCTTGTTATAGGCATGGTATACACTCGATAACCTTCCTCCACAAAAATGTATGTGATTGTTCGAGGGAGGGGGGGGGGGGAGGGGGAGTTGGTAATCATATGTTGATATTTTTTTAGCTCCAATTTCATTAGATGTTCTAGAAGTGCCACAATTTTATGTTAAAGTCTAATTATTAATTAATTTAACTTAAATATACATTTTTTATACTTGATCTTTTGTAGAATAAGCGGTAATTGGTTCTTTTATAATTGGTCGTGTGGCATAAAATCATAGGACAAGATTAGTAAAATTCACCAAAATTAATTTTTTGAAGATGTATATATTTGAATTATGTAGATATATTCATCACTTCAAAAACAAACGTGGAGTAACAGAGAGGGAAGAGAAAGAGCAATATAAGAAGGGATCTGATAATCATTATTATTTACCTTGAAAAAACTTTTAATTTTTTTTATTATATGTACAAAAAATAGGGTTGTTTGATTCTTGATAAAAAAGATTTTCCATCATATTTATTCTTTCATTTTTTTAATTTGATAAGGTTCAAAACTACCTGAAAACTATTCACAATGGAGCAAAAGTGTATTTCGTTTGTTGTGTGTATTGAGGTTTTGTGTAGGTTCAGGTGAAAAAAATTGTATGTGAGCAGTGTTAATGAAATTTGTTTGGATACATGGAGAAAAATTGATTGAAAGGTGAGCGAATTGTTGTTCATAGGACTGGAAGGACAAGGAATATTGTCTTATTTGCTCGTTAATTTGAGTAAGGGTTGGTGGGGATTTTAAAATGGACATGCTAATGGATATTAAATTACGTGATTTTCCATGGTGGATATTGATGTGTACTGGTCACATGACAAATTATCCTTCACATGGCACGCTTGGTGGCATTAGTTAATGGAAGGGTTATTTTTGAGCCAACAAAAATAGTGAGTATTTTTTAGCCCAAACACAACAAATAATATTTTGAATCTGCTTAACGAATACTAGTCAAATATTATATTTATTATGGGTCAACTATAATAATTAATCAATTTAATACTCTTTATTGATTTTTTTAGACAGTGGACAATTATCATAATATTTTAATATATATATATATATACAACGGAAAACTTTCGCTCTTCTTGCGGGTTTTTTTCATTAATTAGATCACTCATTATCATATTTTAGTATTGTTAATTCGTATTGATCATCGTGATTTGTTATCAATATATAATTATTTTTTCCATGTATATTTTCCTACTAATTGTTGAAAATTTTATTAATCATTTGTTCCATATTACTTTATGCACCTTTTTTACATATTCCAAGTTCCCACAATCTTTATTATTTATTTAATTGGCTGGCACAGAATAGGGGCCAATAGAAGAGGGGCGTATAAAATGTACACCTAGCGATTCATATAACTGTTGTGTATTACAACATTAAATTATATTGATATTTAATAAGTTGGTCCTTGAGAAACACAAACTCCATATGATGTGCAATTGTAAGCTACAAATCTAATTGTCCTTACATTATATGTGATTCATGTTCATATGGTTTCCATATGTTCCTTTCGAAGTTTCTTATCACCATTCGTTATGTGAGTGATCACCTTCAATGTATGTATTTGTAGCTGATGCGTCATTTTTTCGATTGACTATGTTGTTAATAACGTGACATCATGTGTTTGTACTAGTCTTGGATATACATTCTGCAAGATTTCTCTGTAAACAATATTTTTAATGTGTCTATGGTCGTCATTGTCTTCATCTACATTGAATATTTTTAATCCTTCTCTTGTTATTACACGTGATGCTGCGACATATAATTGTCCATGTGTGAATACCTGCTTTGGAAGATACAGTCCAACTCTCTGAAGCATTTGTCCTTGCCTTTTATTGATTGTCATGGCATAACAGGTTGCTAAAGGAAGTTGTCGTCTATTAAGCTTGAATGGCCATTTTGAATCATTTGGAGACATGATAAGTCTGGGTATTGTGACTCTTGTGCCGATGTTCTTACTAGATATGATGTTTGCATTTACAGACCATTTTCCCAAATGTGTGATCATTAATCTTGTACCGTTGCATAGTTCTTCAGTTTGATTGAGATTTCTAAGAAGCATAACGGACATCCTACTTTTAAGTGTATATCATGGTTATGGATGCCTGAGAATCGTAAGGTACTAAGGAATTTAGTGGGGTACAATATATCTTCCTCATTAGTGTTCACACTTGCTTTGCACACATTGTGAGAGTTGTAGTAGGTTCTTCCTTCCCCTGGTATAATATTCATTCTTTTTTCATTTAGATCATGAACCATTTCATTTTTTGGTGTTAGTATGGCTCTTTTTTTCAAGTATGTTGGGTCGTTGTACTTCTGTAATAGAGATGGATATACTGTATCTACAATTGATTCCACTTGATTGTGTGATGGTGCACTGGATATATAAGGCGCGAGCTTAATTAGTTCAATATTTTTTTCAGCATGAACTGATCCATCTCCACTCTACAATAACCATCTATCAAAAATTGCATCTGTTTTCCACAAGTAAGTCGCATATTTTCCTTTAGTTCATAAATTAAAAAGCAGGGCCACAGGTGCGAATTGTTTAGCAACGCATCAAAAATATAAACTCCTGTTCCTTTTTGAATTACCGGAAGGATTTGTCGGAAATTATCACCACACACGACTGTTAGTCCCCCAAAAGGCCTGTTACAACTATTTTCATACCTATCTCGAAGAATGTCCCTCAAGCTCTTGTGTAAGGCTTCTAGACAATATTTGTTTGCCATTGGTGCTTCATCCCAAATTATTAAACAAGTTTTCTATTGTAGTTCCAGTAATTGTCTTCCTTGGTTTATGTCACATGTTGACTCGTGGGTGACGTCAAGCGAAATATGGAACCGCGAATGAGCAGTCTTGCCGTTCGTCAACAATAAAGCTGCTATACCTGAAGTGGCGGCTGGTTGAACTATTTTTTATTATGATCTAATTTTAGAAATAATTGTATTCCATAGAAATGTCTTACCACCATGTCTGTGTATAAAAAATAATCCGCCTTCTTTATTATTAACGAATGATATTATTGCCTCATAAGCAGGTAATTGACAACTATTTAATAGCGTAAATGATTTGTCGTGCATATTTTTTGTTCGCCTTTGTCATAGTCTAGATCTTCATTAATTAGGCCATTTTCCCCACATTCTGCATTAATGTATTATTTGGCACTGGCATCCCTTCTATGTCTCGCAAACTTCTTCCCTGTTTTATGAGCATGTTCTCAATTTCTATAGGGAATACACTTCTATTTGTTTTTCAGTTAGTTGGAAGTCTTTCAAATGTTAGCGCTTTCTCTTCATCGATGTGATATCTTCTGATAATATTTTGTAGTTATCCTTCCAAAGCTTGTGAGAATCTGAAACTTGGCAGTTAATAAGAATAGTACAAATAGATTGCGCAGTTCATTTCCACTTGCCCATTAGGCAGCCTGTGAGAAGTAGTCATTCCACTCCTTGTCATCATCTAATAAGCCTAATGTGTATAATGCCTCTCGATAGGTTTTATAATCTACTCCATTAATTCTTCTTATGCTTTCAAATGAAGTGCAACCTTTTACAAAATTTAACAAGACGCGTTGATAAAAACGCTCTCAACTTGCTAGAAGTGCAAAATAGATTCTACCAACTGCCTGACCTTTTTTCTTCCTAGTCCATTTTTTTGTTTTTATTCCATACCCACCGCGTAGGAAAATCAGAATATGTTAGATCTCTTGCATCGGGATATTCTTTGATTGCTTCAAACCATTCAGTAAATTTTGTTTTTTCAATATCTGGTGTGTTCAGTACGCTTTCAGTTCGCCTTGATTCTTCGAATATTATGGTGTTTTGTCCTTGTAAATGCAATGGTAATCGCTCAACTACTGGTTGTCTGTAATGTATGTCGAATTTGAATATCCTCCAGCATGCTTCGGTAGCTGAAATGTATTTGCAATCTATATACTTTCAGATCTTATACTTTTCATTTGTTGAATTTGTTGATTCTATTATTGATGTTTCTCTAGCACACACTTTATGAACATACTATAATAGTAAATTCACTGAACTAGAGTAGATGCAAACTTCAACATTTATGTGTATATTAAATTGCACAAGAAAGTTCCTATTGTATGGAACAACATATCTGTTGTCTAAACAGGGATCATTTTTATTCACTTCAATACCTGTGTTGCGTGTTTTATAAATAGGGAATCCATAGAAAGTACTCTTGTCATTGTATTTGTTAGGGAAATGCTTTGTGCACTTCATTTGTCTCATACATGGCAACAGGGATTTATTTTTCCGCATGGTCCGTGTATCATAAGGTTCTTGACTGCATTATACCCATCTGGATATTCTTCAATGTCAGGTATTTCAGCGGATATTACTCTTTCAATATATTCAGCGGAACAACAATATATGTGCCTGTGCCAAGCCTCTTTTCTGGAAGTCATTGTATATATACCCGCATAATAATGGCTTTGGTTAAGATGTTGGAAGTTGTCTTAATCCCTACTCAATATTGTAGTTCCTTCTATTTTTTAGGGAGTATTTCTCTTTGCCCATTCATATAAATTCCAAAGTAAAGTATTTCACATGTATATCAAGTATATGGTGTGTAGTATAGTTTTTAGTACAAAAACCCCTTGTTATATTCAAAGTAAACTGGGTGGTGCATCTGGCTATTATAAGGTGGATATTTTCTTATCTTAGCTGGCACTATTTAGTAAACTATACTATAATATGTTAATAAATTTTTAGATGATGCATCTAGTATGCTAAAGTGTGAAGGTATATAAGAGTATTTGATTGAAAAAACATACATGGCATTACTCTCCCGAATGGTTTATCTTTTTTAATATATTGCATTAGTTTGGCCAACTTGATCTGGAAAACTATACATATGATGTCTACCCGGCTACCATCATCATGTTGACCAATAAGGTGCAACATTTCCTTTATTTCTGGCCACTTTGGGTTACATGTGAAGGTAAGAGATAAATATGGGTATCCAACAAATCTACATATCGCCATTGCATCTTGATAATCTTGTGCCCTATAGAGAGGTCCCCCTGTGTGTGACGAAGGTGATATATTTGTTTTCCCGACCTATGAAGAATCAGAATTTCCACATTGAACAGCATGTATTAAGCCCCCAAAAATATCAGACGAAGATTTGGTTTGTTATTTCATATATATCTAAATCGCTCCTCTCCAATTGCCATGTAACCATCCACAATGTACTACTGCAGTAGCCTGCTAGACTGTATAATTGTTCGCCCCTTATTATGTCATTTTTGTATGTGGTATCCATAATATTGTGTCATTGTCATGTGCTCACGTGTGTAAGTTTTTTGTCTATATAACACAAATTGTATTCCAAGTCTATATCCATCATCCCCGTATGGATGTATTAATGGGTAAGTCATTGACATGAAACTCGGGTGTAAATCAGTGATCCTCTGGAGCCCATTTTTGTGGTTTTCAACAATAACATCTTGCTGGAAGTTAGCATCTGTAAGATCACCAAAGATCAATCCATCTACTTCTGAAGTCATAGGTATATTGTAATGCCAACCTTCGTTAACCCTTTCTGATAGAAGACGTAGGTGAAACTCTGTTTGTGGTTGTTCTCTATATCTATCTTTTTCCATACAAAATGCTTATACCTGAACATAATGCTCGTCGAGCATTTCATATATTCCCTGAACAATGTCTACTTTAACTTCTTCATGAATTAGACATTTGATTCGATTCTCTAATTCATTGTCCGTAACTTATATATAGTTTTGCAAACAATGTTTTTTTATTTCAGGTAAGAGAGAGCCAATATGATGATAATTATGTCCACTTGTTTTGAATACATAAGCACCTATTGTACGATTGATTGATTTGTCAACTCGACCTCCTATAGATGTAAATGCAAACTTGGAGTTGTATACCCTGATATTTTTTCTAAAGTGTACACCTATTTGTCCAGATGTAGTGCCCAAAAGGTATTGAAGGTAGGGTGGTGGTTGGCTCAGCAATGATAAACGAACACGACCTTCGCTACAAAATATTGAAAATTTGGGTTGTCGTGTATTTGTTCTTTTGGTTGTCTATTCTTCTTACTGTAGAATTGCTCCGCAATATTGGCAGGTGTAGGTTTGATGCCCTATCCAAGCATTCTTGTAGGCACTTGTCATTGAAGAATGTAGCTAATGAGTTTAAGTATTATATGCATAAATATCGAAATTCCTAACCTTATGTAGAGTTAGGTGCATAGGTAATAATGTGTCAAATTAAAAGTTATTGAAATGTACTTCTTTTCTTGCCAATGATTGGGTTGTCGCCTCTGAGCAACTTATTTGGATTTGATACGTCTTGACATTCATCTATAGCTGAATCATAGGACAGGTTAGGAGCAGTAGGCACACCCCAGAAACACGACCCTCACAAGCTGGACAACACGTTATTTGTCTGCCATAACTACACGGAGAAACGGGTTAAAGCCAACAAACGATATGGATTCTACATCTGTGGTGCGCAACACGGCAATGTCAGGTTCCATAAGATAAACAACCTTGGTGCCATTCCTACATGAATGGAAGGAGAAAGAAGCCCATGTGCAAGGACAGAATGCGGGCAAGACGCAGATGGGCATGATAGGATTATGCGGAGTGATAGCCAAGCATACTAAGAAGCTTAGTAACTTTAGAATGTAGTAGGTAGACATCTCCCGTAACGGGCGACCAGCTCGTGGCATGGTATTGACTCCGGGTTCAAAGCAAACATCATGACCAATGCGGCAACAGAGATAAGGGCTGAACAACTTATGAAGAAACACCCACCTCAAGACGGTTAATGCCCCACCAACTCCCGTATGGGGGGTCACCCAATAAGAAATCATCACGTTGGGAAGTAGCAGTGTAAGAAATACTCACCGTCACACTTTTAGATATGTTTGATATCATACTTGTTCAGGAGTTCTTCTAGTGATGCCATACGATGATCGACCTCTACCAACAACAACTCATACCAATGGAGCGGGAAGGGTCATGCATAGAATCTCTAGTCAAGGTGCCAAAGAAGGAAGGACAAACTAACTTATTATCCATGCAGAAGTGAAGGGCCTAAATAAAGGAGAACCAGCTTTTTTGGCTACCATTGCAAGTTCAGGAGAAGACAATGGTATTATGGAGTCCTTAACATTGATCATAGAGAATGTCTTTGAAGAGAACAAGGATGTGATAGCTGACGATCTTCCAAAGACTCTAGCTCTGAGGAGCGAGGTAGACCACGAGATATAGTTGGAAGTTTGACCAAGCCACCCGTACATGTACCTTACCGCATGGCTCTAGCGGAATTGGAGAAGCTAAAGAAGCAGTAGAAGGATATCCTCGAGGCCAGTCATATCTGTGTGGACTATCGGTGATATTCTAGAAGAATAAAGATGGGTTGTTGCGCTTATGTATCGTCTATCGTGTGCTCAATAAGGTGATAATTAAGAACAAGTATCTTATCCCGCTTATTTATGATTTCTTTGATAGAATTGGGCATTCCAAGTACTTCACCAAGATGGATCTCCGGAATGGCAATTGTGAAATGTGCATCGAAGAAGGGGATGAGCCAAAGACAATGTGTGTGACCAGATATGGAGTATACGAGCGGTTGTTAATTCCTTAAAGCTTAACCAATGCACCCGCCACATTTTACGCGATGATGAACAACAATTTTTATCCATTCTTGGACCAGTTCGTGGTGGTGTACTTGGATGACATAGTAATCTATTACAACACCTTGGAAGAGCACGTGGAGCACTTCTAAAGAGTCTGAAGTCTTACGGGAGAACTAGCTCTACGTCTAGCGAGAGAAGTTAAAGTTTGTGTGGCACGAAGTTCACTTCCTTGGACATTTTATCAGACAAGGCAAATTAAGAATGGAAGAGACAAAGATCTGGGTGATCCAAGAGCAGGAGGCACCCACAAAAGTGACCGAGCTGCGATCCTTCCTTGGACTGTCCAACTACAATCGTAGGTTCATTAGTGGATACTTCGTTAAAGATACTCTATTGATCGAGTAGTAAAAAAATAATAAGTCTTGGGTTTGAAGCGAGGAGTGCCAAAGAGAGTTCAATGGTCTTAACTCC